AGTAGTACGCAGTTTTAACTTTGTGCCTGCAAAAACAAATTTCACTCAGACTTAAAATTTTATAAAAAATTACTTATTATCCCGACCATTTCACTGAATACAGTCAGCATTAAACCTGGCAAAACTGGCACTGGGGGGGCACTCCAAATGTTCAGAATTGATGGGGCGTGTGGCGGCGCCCACCTATATCAAAGATAAGGACAAGACCGCTCATGAAATCTCAATCGTTTTCTACGTACTTCTGACAAGTACTGGTGCAGGGGGGAGTATCCCTAAGATGCTATCACAATTGTTCCAGCAATAGTTCAGGGAAACGGTCATTATCCAGGGGGAATGATATATTCACCTACACGAGGGGAGGAGGAGCTCCATGGTGCAAAAAATTGGACCGAATGTGGGCAGGGTGTGTGGGATGTAGGACATTTACCTGTCCTTAGCAGAAGGACAAGAACAAGCAAATAAGTGCCGCCTGTGACCGCCTCTAATCCAAATTTAGCTTGGCTGATCATCAAGCTCTCAGCAAAGAAGTGACAGAAAAAACAGGAAGAAACAAAATAAATGCCCTTCCAGTCCCTGGGCTTCTTTTTGGTTTTTACCGTGCGTAATTCGGTTTTTAGTAAGCTGCAATATCTCTATTAATGCGTAGAAGCTGTTAGCTGTGTGACGTTAAGCTGACAAACACCTCCTGGACGTCGATCCCTTCTCTCATGTTGGTCGTAGTCTTTCCGTTCTGCAGTCGAACGGCGCGATGATGTCCAAATTGAAGTGAGGGACCGGCAGAAAAAATCAATGATTTTTTTCTTGAAACATTAGCAAGCAAATTACATATCGCCATTGAGAGCCTTTCAAAGTGACTCTAAATGAAAAGTCCGTTTTCCATTTTGCTTCATTTGGAACGAGCTATCCTTCAACGTTTTCTTGATTCTATTTCTTTGCACCGACCCCCAAAAATCAACCACCGAACGTCTATTGATGGTGATCAAAAACTGCCACTCAGCCATCGGTGAAATAATCGAAGATTAGGCGGAATTTTACTTAGGGGCTCTCAATATGACTTCCTAGCTCTCTTGTGCAGCTCGCGAATATCATCGTAAACGTGATCTGCACAATAAAGCTAAAAAATCTCCGTTTGATTAACTCGAAGATCAGCCAAAAATGATCTCAAATCTGTCCAGGAAAGTGCACTTAATGAGCTTTTAGCCATGTTTAGGTTTCCAAGAACAACGCAACGGCCGCAGCATTGGCCTAAATGAATCTTCTGCCTTACAAGTCCGGGACAATAAGAACAATTCATATTGTTACTCGCAATCTTATGCTGAAGGCTTATATAAAAAATTAAAAATGCTCACTGCAGGCCGGATTTCAGGTGCAGGGCAACCAGCAATGTCACGAACGTCAGTATCAGTGGAGCTGAAAGTGAGGTTCCTTCACCCTACATCTTTCTTAATCATACTTTTTTTTCAAGTTCATTATTTATGTTTTCAGTTCCTGTTCGTCGTTGTTTTCGGTTTACATGAGAGGCAAATATTTGTGACATTTCTGTTTCTGAGTTTGGGTCTCGCGATATTCCGACTAATAGAGTGAAATCTGGTATTGTTCACAAATGCTAATTCGTGAACCAAATCTGTCGCCCCAGACGGGATCGAACGCCAGCACCTCTCGCCTAGGGCAAGTGTTTACAACGGAATCTTATAATTTATCGAAGACTCCCATGGGAGGATGTTGGGGTGGAGGGGTATCGTGTCAGGCTTAATATGCCTATGGGTCATTGCAATGGAAAGGACGCCGGCATGGAAGGGGTTTCTCTCAACAGGAGGCGTAGGCTTACAACTGCGCCGTCGCGAATACCAGACATTGTTCCAGGAAATGTGAGGCTTAGAAACAATGTTGAGGGACATTTTTTTCACTATCTCACAGGGTCTGTTGGTTGAATTTTGAAAAGAGGGTCTACTTCTCTACGGCGGAGGTATCTTGAGACTAATAGTCCAAGAGACGCTCAGCGACGAGAGTAAGACCGATGTCATAGTTTGCGAATCGAACGATTCGCTAGCGAATCGAACTTTGCACCAGCGAGTCGAACGATGTACCAGCGACTCAATAGTGGCGGGACCCAACGTTCAAAGGAAGTCCCGCCTCTTTCTTCCATTGTGACTCTTCCATTAGATTACTCAAAATACGAGCATAGTTTCTAGAATCCGGATCTCGTGCAGATTAGCATATTGATAGGTTTTCAGATGATGCGGTCGTTTATCGTGTTGGTGGTGGTTTTTGTGTGCTCTTGGTGTGTTTCGACAATATCCACACATATTGTCGTCGAATATTTCCGGCCAAAATCAGAGATTTCATTATTTGTGCAAACTTACGTTGTGAGTTACAGTCTCATTTTTGATGCCCCAATGACTACAAATCTCTTGTCGGTTCAGGTGCTCACTGTCGTTCCCACGTACTGCCAGTGCTATTTCGTCAGCTACTTTCATTCGCCTCTGCACCGTTCAGTATATCAAAAGCAGTTACGTGTTTTATTTCCATGTTTCTTCAGTGAGAAACAGGACGAACCTTCTCATCAAAAGGATGTCCATGACATGAGGATCACCACTTTATAGGTCAGCTGGTCTGCTACTCCACAGTATTACTGTTTCAGTGACCCACAATTTCAGGAGAGCCTGCTGTACACCGCTCTTTCTGAGATGCGCCAGGAATTCAAGTCATGCACCATGCGGGTAACACAATCAAGTTATGCGCTCGACATGAACAACAGCTGTTGACTTCTGAGTCTGATCCTCTAGTTTTGAACATTCGTACCTTTCTCGTGTGGACACTCTCGGTCCAGTCAGCTATACTGCTGAAGACCTCGTGATCACTGTATCACTGATTGCTCATGATATCTGTCTCAAAGGAAGTGGTCGCGAATAAGCTCAGGGAACGAATGGGAAAGATGCACAGGGCTCGGGTAGGAAACCTATCACAACCAACTATCATGACAAGTGGCGATTCGGGGACAGTGACGCTTATTTATGGAATATTAAGGCCCCGGGAGAGAGTTCTTTAAGATCCGGAACCCTTACCCGCCCATTGTTTCGGACGAGAGGTTAAGTGGTCGACGTGTGAAAGAAGTCGTTCTAACTCGATGTTCGTCTCCTCCATTGTAGCATTTGTACCGAGCAGCTTGTTTGCATGCCAGCACCTTAATTATTCCTGACTAGCTCTATCCAGCTCTTATCTCGAAAATTTCCGTGAATGACGTATGAAACTCTTGTCCATCCTTATGCTAGTATTAATCTTGCTTCCTTTGAGGAGATCGAAGGAGTCGCTCCAGGCACAACTGCTAGGATCCTCAATCGAGAGTGTTCTGAAGTAGGACGTATGTCTGTTTTACGTCTGTGAGAGCGTAACACAGAACCATGGGTGTCAGGGTTAAGATTGTGAAGGTTATATTCCTGATTAGGTAAGCTGCGGAGTGATTGACATAGTGGAAACACCGTAATAATTATAACGAAACTACCACCTAACATCTCATAGCCAGATATGTGAGGCGCCTGACCTTTTGGGTTGAAAGTACGCGGAGAAACACCCAGAAGCTGCGTCACCGAGCCATTTGACACCGCTCCTCCGAAGCCCGCCTCCCCTGTCAGCCTACCCGCGTGACCGACTGCTTAAAGGCGCTGGTGCTTGTTACTGTATTCAGACTATGAGGTTCCATTGTTGCAGAAGCACTGAGCTACAGTAGCGATCAAAATGTTCGCGTAAAAGGATTTTCGCGCTTTGCTCTCTTTTTCGAAGTGGAAAAAAAATTCGCATGGTGAATACTTAACAAATTGCTTGTTGGTATCCTGATTCTTTCAAGACTTGAAGATATAAAAACATCAGGAAACATAGTATACCAATCTTTGGTGGGTGTTGCGCTAATGAGAAAAACTAATGCACTAAAAATCGTTCCCGGCGAACACTTTTGACCGCTACTGTATGTTTGTGGAAACCTCGTTTACCACGCTCCTTCTCTATCCCAACGTGAAATACGGTTAAAGGGGGTCCTTACACGGTATTCTCGGTGTTTTCTTTTGTTTTTTTTTCTTTTCCGGGACCACTCCAGCTTTGTTTCTGAACACTCTCACACAAGCCATTTATCCCGGAACTTGCCATTTAACTGGTATCAAACTCCTCATGTAGAATATGAACATCAACTGGTATGCCGCTTGCTTTCGCAAGTCATTTGTAGCCAAATCGTTTCCAAATGGCCACGTTAAAGCCATGACACCCCCTATAAGCAAACTACGATATCTCCTTAAAGTGTTGAAATACAGACTCTTTTTATAATGAATGTCTGTCAATTGGGACAATGGTATCCTAGTCGCCCTCCTTAGATACTGAGGGCGGTTTAACGGGGAGCGTGCAACAGAATCGTCCGGGACTGGCGCCGTCGCGCGCGGCCACTTGCGCGGCGCCGTGACGCGGCACTTTTTCGATGGGCGCGGCAAGAGTAGACTTTGTCGATTGGAGCGACAGATTTGCTGCCGTCCACATTAAGCCTTTCTGGCGCTGGCCCGTCAACTTTAACGTTTTATTTTCTTCTTTTTAGGCCCGCTTCATTGCTGACGGCTCGTGCGGTCTTAAGGGATCAAGATCAATAGTTTAATTGAAATTTCAGGTACGCGAGGGCGGAGGAGACGGCGCCCGTGGTGTGAATAAATTCCGAGTTGGTCAGCATACTCCTGTAATACAAGTTTCGTTATGGAATCATTCAAAAACCAAGACAGCGACTCAGCCGCATTAACTGATTAAGCACATTCCCCTACCGGCTTCAGATGGCTTCCGCCGGCCATGTTATGAGCCCTAAAATGTTAAAGGGGGGAGTCGGGGTAGCCCCTGTGAGAAATCGAATGACGCTCAACTCGTCCACTACAGTCGCGACGTCGCGGCCGCGACCACAAGCGCGGGGCTCCGGACGATTCTGTTGCTACACACCCCGCTAAATGGCAATTGCTGTGAAGTGTGCTTTGTGCTGGATGTTTATTACAGGAGTATGATGAAGGAGCTGGGAGTGTGCTTTATGTTTTGAACCAGTACCATACCGGTCTCTTCGACACGTTCTTCATCATTCATAGAACAACCATAGGAATATCATCGATTTCTCAATCCTACCAGCAAAAAAAAATCACGATTTGCGTGAGACCATTCTGCCCGATGTACCCTAACATTCTTGGATTTCCAAAGAATTTGCTCATGTCGAACAATTTTCCTCATCTCTCAGAATTCACTTTCGTGCGCATACATATTCACATATTTCTGTACATGTTTATTGCATATTCAATAAATTGGATGTTTTGTGCAAAATTCTCCGAATTTTTGAGCACTCCTATCTATTATACACGTCCCTGCGAACAGCTCACCTCAGAATAAAACTGCCTTCCTCACAATCCAACTCAAGCCTCATAGCTAAATATTTCTTGTTTTTTTTTCACCATTGAGTGTGGTACGTCGACAGCTATCCCATCTGATGGAGATGCAGTTTGATTCTTCTCAAAAGCCATGAAATAAAAAACGTAGTCAGATTTTTGAAAAGCGTACGTTGCCAAATTCGGGTCTGTTACAGTTAGGGGGCCATCACGACGCAGTTTTTCCAGAAAGCTATAGTAGTTCCAAGCCAGGAGAAAAGTAGCCAGTCTAGGGGTGGGGGATGAGCGCACTCACTTGACATGCGTGAAAAGCCTGGAATGTTTGAGGTAACGACGTAGTTCGGCTGAGAAGACTGCATCATTGATTGCCCCACTCCCTCCCTGAACCGGATCGACCACCGAAAATCTTATCCGAATAGCGCATTGATGAAAACTTCGCCCACAAGACGGAGATAATGAACATCTTAGCAAAGTGTTACGGGATGTGCTCACGGAGAGCAACCTCTTTTTCATTCCGTCATAAGAATATGGAGCAATCCGTCAGTTAACGAGCCAGTGTAAGTTTACAGTATTTGTTCTCTCGCAGTCTTATCTGGTCTTCTTGTGAGATTTCTTTCCTCATATGGTTGGGCAAGAATCGAGTGGAGTCGTTGGAGAACAACGATCTGCCCCTAGTTTGCTTCCCATGATTCCACGTCAACAGGCAAACTGACCGCAAAGTCTCCTACGCGTCAGTTTGATAGTAGCAAGGATCCTAATATGGACACGGAAGTGCTTGCAGCATCACTTACCTCCCCAACTATGTTCGACCCAAACTTTATGGCAAACTCACAATTCCGCATAACAGAAAGAAGATACTGTGATCGTCAAGTCCTTAACCCTGTGTGAAACCGTTTGAGGGAGTGGAACAGCAGCGATAACTCTTCCCTTCATTGCCTCTTTCATTTTCTTTGCTCCCTAATGGTAAGCCCATTTCTATCGGACACGTAGGCATTAGTCATCAGAAGTGTACGTGAGAAACTGCTCAAGACCTGAAAGGAGCAAAGGACAAGACAGTTTCGGAAATTGAACTCACGTCATGAAATGGAACCGCCTCGACGTAAATCGCCATTAACTAAAGTTCTTTGGTGGCGCATTGTTACAGTAGGCTCGGCTCAGGCAACTATTCGGAAATGAGGGGGGGGGGGCGTTACTCACCCGGTTCTTCGCTAGTGCTCTCCATGAGCGAATGAAGTTCTTGACTCTAAACGTGCATGAATGAGAACAGATGCGGTGCGGTTACCGTTGAAAAAACAGCACACAGCAGATATACTGAAGCAAGAAAGCCGGAAATTATCCTAGCACAGAAATTTCCTGAGCTCTTTGTCAAAACATGCGTTAAAGGGTAATTTCGACAACATTGAGAGGCGAAGGAATCCCTTCTATAACTACCCGGGGTGTTCCTGTATTTTTTTAAACTATTTCGCTCTGTTGTTTCGCCAACATCTCTCCAACCAAATTCCTTGCACATCATGGGGCCGTGCACAATGAAATTTGGGGCCCAGTCATTGTGAATGCCAAGCGTTGCAGAGCCCAAAGAGTTGTGAACAGCTAAAAGATCTTTTCTAGAGCCGCCCACCAATATCAACAAGAAATACTCATTTTGAAGGGAAGCATCATCAAGACGGCCCAAAAATGGTGAGGTGGGCGGTCCAAGTCCCTTCCTGTCTCAAGGCTCGAGCTAACATTGATAAAATTTTCCTCTCCAGCACCTTGGAGTTTTGTGGATTCTCCGTCGAAGTGCATCCGAGTCAGATACCGCTCCATCCAACCTCTATCACTCCTGAACCGGTTTCATGATATCAAATCTTCTGAATGTTTTTTATTGTTTTTCTTTCTCAACTGAAGATCTGTTGGTCACGTTGTAGTCGCAACAAGTTTCTTTCGTGTACTGTTACAATTCTTATAAAGTCAATGTTTCAACCTGTTACAATTCTTAATGGAAGTCAATGTGCATATCGATCTAAATAGATAAGTTGCAGGATCGGATTTATATGTTATTTTATTTATATTTTTTTGTTTTGTAGGATATGCCTTCACTTGTTACTGAAGTGATTGTTACATTAGTAGTGGTTCCCATGTGTCTTATTGGTCTTTTCGGTAATTTCAGTCTTCTCTGGGCCACCGTGGCAAATAAGCATTTACACAACAAAATTTGTGAGTTCCCATACTCAGTTATTTTTTCACACTTGTTTGCAAACAGCAATATTTGATGGTAAATTGCTGGTGAATAATTGAGGTGTTTGTGCATTCAGATTGATGATAAATGATGGATGAATGATAAACAAACTACCCTTTTAACCAAAAATTACCTGCATTCTTCACGTCATTCCAAGTCAACAAATGTGTTGTTGCAAGTGAAATCTGCACTGGCAGGTGTTCAAAAAATGGTTTAAAAGGATAGTTACTAGTTTTGGGAGCGATCTCGCCAACATTTTCCCAAATAATTATTATTCAGGGGCGTCATTATATTAGCTAGTGAGGAACAAAATAGCAAACAAACTTGAAAACACACAATACGGTGCCTATGGCTAGTATTTACTTGTACTGGTGCATATTCCGACGCATTTCTTGCTGACACAGTCCAGTCATGCCGGCGGAGAAAAGTAGTTCGGGCAGCTCGTCCGGCCCCACCCCTTCTTCTCTCGAGGGGAAAGAGGGGAGTCTTGTTCAAGGGCTTCATCGGCGATTTTCTTTGTTTCTTTTTTCATTTACAGTCAACTCGGCATCCACAGTTTCATTATCGACCGCTTTTGCCCCACGAAATCGATCGCTTAAACAGGCGGGAGTGTGGAGTGCATTTCAGGAAGCAAAACAAATTCTCCTTTGTTTGTTTTGAGGGTAAGATTCCTTCAAACTGAGAAGGCCGACAACTTTTACGTCTGAAGCCATTTTTCAGTGCATTCAACCGAATTTTCTCAATTTCAACGTTTATTTCTCTTCCATATTTTCTTTTTATTTCGACCGGAAAAGAAAAACAGGAAGCTAGAGAAAATTGAAATCAGTTAATTATGTGGCGTGCTTAATTCATGTGAATTAGTTATTGGTGCATTAAAGCAACAGTTCAGGGAGGGTCCGAAAATTTCAATGCCACTACTACTGAGGGATACACGAGCCCTAGTGAAGAACATATGCAGTGGAAATAATAAACGAACTTACCTCAGAAACTCAAAAACAGGGTGGAAAGTCCCTCAAACATGGGTGTTCTTGGGGATTTCCCCAATCCCGCCCCCTTGCCGGCCGTCATTGGACGCGTCGGCAATCGTGCTCGTTTTGGGACCACAGGGAAAATTGATTGAAAAATGGAGCGCGTTTACAGCGGGCACGTTCAGACAACTCGTCCAACGTGCGTCTTTATCCATTGCTGAGCGGCAGAGGGAGAGTACCTGTCTAAGACCCTCCCCGACGTTTTTTTCCAGTTTTTCATACATTAATCGTCTGGTTTTCATCTACAACTTCATTATTGGTGGTTTTTTCCCGCGAAACCGTTCCTGAACTGTTGCTTTTAAGGGTAAGATATATAGGCCAATTTTCAAAGCATCTCTGATGTGATTGCTTCGCTCAAGCGAACTTTATCTCGAAGCTCATTCAGGTAGGTAATTATTAATTGGGCATACTCAATATAGCCACTACCGCAGTAGTAGTTCGTCATTCAGATTTCATGCCGTGTCGCGCCCGGAATGCTTTCGCCACACATGTGTCTATATGTTCGCTATAGCGTCTCAGTTATTAATGTTTCTGATGATGGCCGCGGATTACCTTCTAGCTGTGGCGATGCCTTTGAGGTAATGGGGCACACCTACCTTCGAGGTAAACGGTACACGTTCATACTTGGGATCAGAGTGAAAATCGTGTCGAGGACGTGGTCACATCAGTACGACCCCCCCTCAGATCGGGGTCTTGATACGACCCCTCTAACTTTGATTTGATGTGAATAAGCGAGTTCCATCAATGTACAGCAAAGCATTCAGTTGCAGCGCGGTTTATCCGTGGGTCAGATTTGCCGAAACCCCGCTCGAAACCGTCGAAATCTACACTCTCGATGAAAAGGTTCCATTCCCCATTTCACAACCTTTGGAGCAGTATGTGGTAGGGTTAGATAGAGCTGGATTTACTACCGGGCAATATTGAAATTGATCTAAAATCTTTACACTCGAAGAGATAGGGTCTCTCAAATTTTGTCGAGGCAGCGTCGAGGATGCTGAATTTTTCATGCGAGTTTTTGCCACTTAAAAGGCAATATCTCTCTAATTTCGTAAGATCTTGAAAAAGTGAAGACAGTTTTGGGAAGCGGAAGGTTTGCGTCTTTCTAACTTGTGCTTCTATGTCTTTTAGTTGAGGAGATATTTGCGTCGAGGATCGATGGTGATTCTCGGCCAGCTCAAAAGCCGCTCCCTTCTTCACCATTGCAAGTAATTCGTTGGCAACGCTCGAAATGTGTCTAGAATAAATTCTCCCACGAAAGCTTTGAAGACGTCAAGCTAGCACTGATGTTTGCGTCTCGCTTGGCTCTATGCTCTGTCGTATCGCCGTTTAATCCATCGCACTTCTTCCTTAATTTTCGATCTCTATGGTACCGCTATGGCGATAATGGAATGTCTGAGCGCATTTATTGGCATTAGAGCTGATGGACCATGGGGAGGGATGCCACGATTTTATTCATCATTAGAGAGAATCCCAGTCAGAAACCCAACTTTCGCATTCATTATTCATAAAGACACAGCTTCCTAGGCATCACACCTTTCGAACATCGTCATACGTCTTCTGCATTTGCGTTCCACCGCTGCTGTTTGGATTAACTGTCGTCTCCTCTTGTGTGATATTCATGGATGGCGATGAGATCGACTTTTGCACGCCAATTCTAGGTAGTGCAGAAGGGGGAGCTTTTTGTTGTTAGCCCTTGATTCAATTACTCGTCGATGATTTTGCCTTTTCAGCAATGCCGCGAAAAGTAGGATGGTTAATGGTTGCTGTCATGAATATCCTCAACATTTCCGTTCTACTGGTTCTCTTGTGTGTGCTCGTTATAGTAAAAATTACGAAGCATAGGACCGAGAAGACGCTTGGAAGTATGTTACTTGATAGCTTTGTAATAATAGTTAGTTCCTCGAGAATACTTTTGAAAACTTTTCGAAAATTTACTTTCTGCAAACGACATAACAGTCTCGTTCCTGCAAAAGTAAACTGGGTCTTTGAGGAAGGCAATGTGGTTGAAATGTCAGGCCGAATAATAAATTTCCACCTAACCTCTACGGCACAAGAATTTTCGAAAATTGTTCTCCAGCTTTTTCATTCCAACACATTCACTGGAATTAGAGCACGAGAGAAAACATTACTTTTGCCATATTCGAGTATAGCGTAGAAATTGGCGCAGTCTTACTGAGTTCCACAGAGTTTCATGTCAAAATTGGCTGAGTGCTTTTTGGAAATTCGACCTGCGCTGCCTACTGTTTGTTCGTCGCAATGGAATTTTAAAAAATTATTTATGTGGAAAGTGAATCGACATAGCTGATCGCCCAACTAACCTTATAAACCCCCACGCTAGTGACCTCAGTCAAGTCGTGGCGAACAAAATTCCGAAACGGTCCGCACGAGATGGCAAAACGACACTTAAAGAAAACTCCGGGATAAAACGAGGGACTCACCTGTTCGAGTATGAAGTGTTGGGTGCTATGTTGATTGAAGATAATGAAAGAAGCAGGAAATACCCCCAAAAACCTCCAAAATTAGAGATTCCATTCGTTAGTCGCTTACGAACCAGGGCTGGGAAAATTACGTGTTTGGACATGTCTACAGCAACTGTTGGCTTTGTGCCATCAACCGACACGGCTAAAAAAGCCAGCAATGAAAACTGATTTTTTCTAGTTTCCCTATTTTCTATTTTCCTGTCTTTGCTTTTTTTTCTAAATTTTTCTCTAAGCAATTGAGACAAACTCCGCCAAAATGTTCGTAAAATAGGCTTTGATGTCGGTTTTTCGCAATTGAAATCCACCAAATACTCCCCTACGATACTTTCCAAACAACGGGTGAACATCTAGCGTTCTAGGTGGTTGTTTGGAAGATCACGTAGGCGGTGGGCGGGCTCAATGGGCTTGGGGCGGCGCCAATGCTCCAACCTTCGCCCCTAGCGCCTAAAAACCTTATCGAAACGCCCCGCCACTTCTCCATATGGTCTGCCCTCGCATACTGCTCCATATTTAACGGGGAAGACCCCAATTTCGCCAGAAATCCCGGAATTTGCCTTTAAGTTACAATATCAATAGATTACAGCCAAGTAGAGGCGGCATTTGCGGATCAGAATAAGCCAGGAAACGGCCCAGACCTTGAAAAGAACTACCCTTTTTTTCGCAGATTACGCCACTCTCATCGATTGCGGCCGTTCTTCAAAGACTACGCTGCTCTCTCCAAAACGGAAGAGGAAGGTAAGCGAACAGCGCACGGATAGTGCCTGGCAAAGCCGAGAGCAGCGCCGCCACAAAGCTAAGCGTTCGGGTGCACCCTAAGGGCCCCCTACCATTCCGAGTATGGATATGCTCCTTTTGCCACCTTAACCGTGACATCCCCTTCAATGCTGATACGCATATCAATTTATGTTGATTCAGTCCGAGCTCATTCGAAGATCTCGATCTTCAACAGCGGGAGAAATGAAAGTACGTTGCTCATCTCACACAAATAGCAAGTAGAGGTTTTCCTCTCCGTCTCATATTTTACGATGTCAATAGCAGATGCACTAGAAAATACTTTTTAGTTTACTGAAAGGATAATTATAGGATAGAGGGTAGGTTAAGATAATGTGGAATTGAGTAGCTCAAAGCTGGTGCACAAAACTTTCAAAACGAAAGGGAGGAGGGCAGGAGAATTATAATCGCTATAATTTCTCACTCACTCACTCAAGTCATACTTTCCATCCTGAACTTTTCTATGACTTCAATTGGCAAATATCCCCAATAAGTGCCAATTGTGGACAAACTCGCTCAACAACAAAATTGCAGATGATGCAGTCATTTCTCGTTTTGATTGTAATTTTCGTGTGCTCCTGGTGTACAGCAGGAGTCATCGCCTTCATTGGCATTGAGTTTCTTCAAACAGAGCTTTCGCTGAGTTTCCAGACCTATGCTGTAAGTCCATACCGTCCTTGATGTCTTCTACTTCTTTCAATATCATTTTGTTCAGGTGATCATCGTCCTACCGTCGTACTGTCAGTGCTACTTCGTCAGCTACATTCGTTCACCTCGCCATCGTTCAGCATATCGAAATCAGCAACGAATTCTATTCCCGTGTTTGTTCAATTTCGAACGAGGAGAATCCACACCTATAAGCTCTGTTCGGGTCAGAAATAGTGCTCCGTAGGTCAGAACGTGAAAATTCACCTCCTTCCACTGCGACTTTCTGAAGCTGTGGAGCTTTGGAGAATTTCCTTGTCAACAGATGATCTCGCAAAGTAGTCCATGTCACAAATTTTTGTGAGAATCGCGGTGGGAAGGGCCACCTTATTATCGCTGCGTCTCTAGTGCTGCTCTACTGATAAAGAAAAGCTGTGATAATACTGAGCTGATTTGACGTTTTCGTGCCACTGATTCTAGGACTGTACTAGCAGAGTCATAATATTTTAATGGAGTGAAATAAGTGGAAAGCTATTGTGCAGAAAAAAAAACAGCTCTCAATCATCCCGTCAAGTCTCACCTCACACGTCTGGAATGTTCGACATTTATTTAGCTCTGCTGTCGACATAGAACAATTAATTTTGTTCGTAATGCAGTTCTAATCAATTTTTCTCAGGATCATCTTAATGATGAAGTCGTTTTGCACAATTGAGCTCACTCTTGAATTTCACAAAGGTGGACGACATTTTGCAGAGGTAGTTAAAGGCAGCGATTACGATAAAGAGGGAGCGCATCGGGAAGCATATGCACCACACGAATCAGTTACTTGGCTGCCAGGGAAGCGAGGTGTAGCGCTTTCACGACGAAAGGTGCGCTGGTTGCTGAGCAGGACTTCGAAAGCACTCCGCCCCAAAAGCGATCCGCCCACTAGTTTACTTGGTGATTTGGACGAGCTGCGTTGCCAGCAGCGGCACAACTGGAGCAACTCGATTGGAGCGTATCGAGTATAGCGTAGAATCTGGCGCAGTCCTACTGAGTTCCACAGAGTTTCATGTCAAAATTGGCTGAGTGCTTTTTGGAAATTCTAACCTGCGCTTGCCTACCGTTTGTTGTTAAGTATAAACTATCTAGTATACCGGGCCGTCTTTGGGCAACTGGCTGAAATTCCCAAAAAAAATTATCGTCGGAGATAAGTATAAAGTAAGTAATATTATGGGTCAAAATTTTAGCTTAACGTTCTGCATATTGACAAAAGCGCTCCTTGCACTTTCGCATGGACGAGCGGCTAAGAGCAAACACAATTTATTATCTATTACATCTATCAAGCTTCAACCCTATAGCCAAACAACAATTAACACCAACCGAAGAAATACTGTGGTCTATCTAATGCGACGTCTCAAGAGAATCGTTCGCACTCAGCATTGCTTCGAAACAAATGAACTACACGGCGTTTGAATTGTGCAAGCGGTAGTGAGGCGGGTATGTTTTTCACTAATCTCAAGTAATCACTGCCGGCCCTGAAAGGGAAACTCCTTGCTCGTAACTTAGTTTTAGGTCTTGCCAACGAAATTTTTCACAGGAGAGCCTCCTCTAGTCCTCGAACATGTTAGCTTAAAGATATTGGAGCCACACGGGCGGCTGCGGAGAAACATCTGTGTTGGGACGGCGGACTGAGCCGTGACCACACATGCCCTGTACCAGTTTATGAACCATGCAGACATCAAAAACTCTGCGCCTTAATTCTAAAGATGTCAGCCCCAGATAACGATTCCTGATGGCTGCTTTCGGTATCTTGGCGTACAAAAAGCCACCGATTCTGATAAGTAGTTTACGAGTAAAGTTATTCTGAACCTTCTCCAGCGTGATGTTGATTTCAGGTCCGAGGCCATCTGTAAGATCTCGTGACTTCAACAGCGGGAGAAATGAAAGTACGTTGCTCATCTCACACAACAGCAAGTAGAGGTTTTGCTCCGTCTTATATTTTACGATGTCAGTGGCAGACGCACTAGAAAGTACTTTAGTTTACTGAAAGGATAATTATAATAGAGGAGTAGGGTAGGTCAAGGTAGTGTGGCATTAAGTAGCTCAAAGGGTGCGCAAAACTTTCAAAAGGAAGGGAGGGGGCAGTAGAATTGTAATCGCTATAAATTTCTCATTCACTCAAGTCATACATTCATGCTAAACTTTTCTTATCCTTTCCATGACTTTGAATGGCAAATATGCCCAATATGTGCCAATTGTGGACAAACTCGCTCAACAACAAAATTGCAGATGATGCAGTCATTTCTCGTTTTGATTGTGATTTTCGTGTGCTCCTGGTGTACAGCAGGAGTCATCGCCTTCATTGGCATTGAGTTTCTTCAAACAGAGCTTTCGCTGAGTTTCCAGACCTATGCTGTAAGTCCATATCTCTCCTGATGCTTTCTATCCTTTCAATATATTTATGTTAACGTTATACGACTACCTTCGTACTGTCAGTGCTACTTCGTCAGCTACATTCGTTCACCTCGCCATCGTTCAGCATATCGAAATCAGCAACGAATTCTATTCCCGTGTTTGTTCAATTTCGAACGAGGAGAATCCACACCTATAAGCTCTGTTCGGGTCAGAAATAGTGCTCCGTAGGTCAGAACGTGAAAATTCACCTCCTTCCACTGCGACTTTCTGAAGCTGTGGAGCTTTTGGAGAATTTCCTTGTCAACAGATGATCTCGCAAAGTAGTTTATATGACAAATTTCGGGTGAAAATAGCGATGGAAGGGGCCCCTTTATTCTGTACTGCGT